GCGTGGTTAAAACTTCCAGCGGACGTTAGGAGGAAGCAGAGCACCGCGCTCCGTGCGAGGCAGTGCCCGCTCGCTGCTTCTCCTCCTCTCCTCTCCTTCCTCTCTGGCTGCCCTGACACAAGTGTGCCAAACTATGTGACCAAAAGCTTCGGGTTGTCCCGAAGCTGGCACAAAATGTACTCGAGCTCTCCTACCCCTCTCTTCAGAGCCTGACAGGACACCCCACCCCACAGTCATGCAAACGCTTCCAGTTGCACACGACTGTGCTCAGGCCACCAATGTGCCAAAGCCACGATGGTCATCTGGGCACAGGATGCTGGTGCTTAAATATCAACACGAGGAGGCACACGGCCTTCCTCCAGCACCTCTCCGGGTTGCAGAGGCTCCCATTTAAGGCCACCCCACCTCAGAGGGGCTCCCTCCATTCACCTGGAGTGGGTCCAGGCCGACAGCGCTGCGTGGGGGCTCGGGACCGGCTCTATTACGCACGCACGCACGCACAGAGCCACGTCTTTTCTCCAGTGAACTTTGCTGGCACCCGGCAGGAATTTCATTTGTATCAACTACTTAATATTCTCGCTCCTTCCTTAGAAACTAGGCTGCCGAAAAATCTTTCCAGCCAAGGCCCCTCCTTTCCTGTTTGAACCACCCCATCCCTCCCTCCCTCCCCCGTACACACACACCGCAGAAACCTGGCTCTCTTGCTGGCACCTGACGGATTTCCCCCCCCCCCCTTTTTTTTTTTAAATATATTATTATTGCTGTTGAAACTTCAGATCAAAAGAAAAATGGAGATTTTCCTGTTTCGAATCTGAGGCTTTGCAGGCCTGTTGCTACTAGCTTTCGCCTTGACAGCTCGGGAGCAGCTCTGCACAAAGGACCTGCCGCTCGGCACCAGCCCGGTCCCTCCCTGAGCGACACATGCTCGCAAGCCGGTGCATCCCAAGCGCACCGCTCCCACGACCCCTGCCCTAACCCTCACCCTCGCCTTGGATCTCGGGTGCCCACCTGCCTTGCTGCGTCCCCAGTGCTCACCCCTGAAGCCCCGCATCCCTGAACGGGGAGCAGAAGAGCGCGGGAAGGAGAAACGGGGTTGGGAGGAGTATGTCAGGGAAGGATAAAGGACTGCACCAAACACGAGCCGCAGGAAACTTGGGCTCGGCAGTACTCCTCCGCCTACTTCCAGCTGACGCAGCAAAGACCATTTTCTTAGGGCTAATTCTGCAAAGCCCCCCCTTTCCCCTCCTGGTTATCATTGGCTCACGGTTTCATGAGGAAACTTGCCAAGTCTTGCTCGCTTTATAGAAAGAGAGCAGAAATGACAGAGAAGGAAATATTTGACAACCTTTGTTTTTCCACGAGCCTTTTTAGGGCAGCAGGCTCCACTCTGTGCCCTCCGCTCCCCGGCGCTCAGCCTGACCTTGCTGTCTCAGCAGGAGGATGTCTGGCGAGAGCATGGGGGAGAAAAATGGAAAGACGTGGTGTATTTCAAAGGAAACCTAAACAAAACAGAGAAAACCCAGAATCCTGCAGCCTGTGCCATAAATGAAGCTCATTCATGGTTTTTTACCAGGAACAGTCAATTACACCCGTAATGTTTGGCTTTTGGTAAAGGACAGTGTCTGACTGTTGTGCCAGGAAAGGCTACAGGGACCGTCCCGTCAGTACCTACACATCCGTCTACTTAAAATGAGCCTTACCAAAGCCCTTTAATCCCACACTTGCTTTCATTTCCGACCTCTCAGCAAACCAGGAGCACATCGTGCCCAGTAGCTCCAGCGTGTCTCAGTACCACTGTGCCCAGCCTACAGATGAGGAAACTGAGGCACAGTACCCGGGAGCATCTTGTCCCCAGGCAAGACATCTGGTCTACAGGAGAGCCAAGCCCAGCCTCCCAGGCTTGGGCTCTTGGAATACCACTTGTTGCGTCTCCACCTCGACTATAAAGAGGAAAGCATCTGTGATTTTCAACTTGGCCAGCGCAAGAGCAGAAATAGATAGAAATGCAGATTGATCTAGTCCTTGCTGCTGTCACATAGTTTATTTTGCAGAGTGCTGATTCTTTCTCAGCAGTTCACAGCTCAGGGCCAATTTTGGTCATTGATAGATGGGAGGGCCAGGCCAGCTTCTCTAGCACACAGTCCCTGCACTGCTGGCCAAACTGGCAGAGGCCAGAAAGTTCAAGTCAAACTTCATTTCTTTCCTTGCCGCGTTGCTTAGAAACATGCCTATGAAAATATACTTTGTTCTCACACGCTACCAGTCGAATGCCAAGAAAGTTTTTTCCCTCATCCATCCTCAGGAATTCCTGATTTATTGTTTATTTCTTTTTTGCAATCGTGCAAATCTCAAGAGGAGCCTGCTGGTCTCCTGCGGCTTCTTGCAGCAGACTTTCTGATCCAGGCTCATCACCCGGCTGTGAACAAAACCTGTCGAAAACAGCCCCCTGCGGCACTCGGGGAGTCCAAACTGGAAGTGCAGGTAGTGCCGGGGGGTTGGTTTTGCAACAAACCTGCAACCTCTTTCCTATCCCTCTCCTTGTTCATTCAACGGGTGCTCCCCATCCCAAGAAAACCAAAAGCAGTGATATTACAAGGTGACTGGCCAAAGTTTTCACACAAAGCACCTGCTAAAGGAGCATTTTCTTTGGGAAGAGAGAGGCAGGTGGAACGAAAGGAGGGTCATGCTGGGAGCCAAGCACCAAAAGTGCCTTCGGTCTGCATGGGGCACCCTCATCATGGGCCCAAGGATTGGCCCCGCTCTCCCAGCCGCTGCTGGGTTTCAGTGACATAGCTTTGCCTTCCTGACCACATCGCCTGCCCCCAGCCGCACACACACACACGGAGAGTAAATAAACACGGGGGATGACGGGCTCCGGGATACTTCGCATAGCTCCACTGCCAGCGGGTTATTGCCCGGCTTCCTGGGCTCCACCATGGCAGGAACGCAGCTCCTGGCTTCACCCTTGGTTCCCTGTGCAAGGTCCCCTCCCAACCCTCACCCCTTCCAGCTCCCCTTCAAAAAAATCAAGCTCAGCTTTGCTGTTTCTGGCTGATTTTAAGGGAGTTTGGACATTTGTTGTCATTTGAGGGAGAGGGGAAGTTATACCACACAGAATTTGGTTTTGCTCTGAAGGATGGAGCGTAGCAACACAGCTACTGCCTGCAAGCAGCAAAGGGGAAAATAGTAAAAGCATCAAGATTTATTAGGTGCTAGAAAGGAGAAACGGATTCCCTTCGTGTGGGTATAAGCAGAAGCTTGCTAACAAGGAAAAATGACTATTTCATAGACCAAAAAAGTGGGGGGCTTGTTTCTGGTTTTGTTTTGCCAAATGGTTCCCCAGTCCCCTGGACATGCAGACACCTTCCCCTTCATGCCGTGGCAGAAATACAAGTGTATTTGGAGGAGTATAAGGAAAGTGTCCTTCACGAGCTACAGGGTCCAGAAATGCAAGTTAAATGGGTGCCAAAGTGAAGGAGCGCTTTCTTTCATGCTTTTGTCACGTGCAAGGTGCAAACATTTCAGAAGCCTGGCTTTGCACTGGTGCTACCATGCCAGCCTTCATGCTTGCTTTTAACCTGTTCTTTCTTATTATTCGTCACACCATTATTATTTTTTGTCATCGCAGATTCCCTGTCCCTAATGCACCTGCTCTCTTCACCTTCCTGGGCTAAAACCCATTGCCCAACAAAGACATCCAGCAGTGGGCAGCCAGGCTGCAACGATCGCAAGGAGAAAGCAGGAGACTAAGCAACAAACTTGAGGACTTTGGGGATGGGGCAGATGGTTGCAAGCAGGTGCCCTGCCCTCCCCTGTATTTCAGGCTGCAGAGGCCAGCTTGGGGCCCAGAGCAAGGTGGAAGATACAGTGAGAGAAAGGAGTCAGGGAGCCGGTGAATACAGGGATGCAGGAAAGATGTAAAGGATGCAACTGGGGAAGGACTGGGATGCACCTGTGACTAAGAGGGTGCATCTGGGGGGTGGGGGAAGAAAAGCTTTCTGTCTGGGATGGGACAACACAGAGGTGATGATGGAAAGGGGGGTAGGGGTGAGGCTGTGAGATGATGCAACAGGAGGTTCAACACGGGCATGGATGAAAAGAAGGATGGGAAAAGTCGTGGGGTGCATGGAAGAACAGCCAAGGGAATGGAAGAATACCTGCAAAGATGGAAAAGCAGCTGGGGGGGGGAATGGAAGAGCAGCCAGAAAGATGTAAGAGAGACAGAAAGACAGAAGAGCAACTGGGGTGGGGGAGTGCAGCCGGAAAGATGGAAAAGTAGCTGGAAAGGTGGAAGAGCCATGGGGGATGGTAGAGCAGCCAGCGGAAGTGGTGGTGGTGGAGAAGCAGCCGGAAAAGATGGAAAAGCAACCACGGGCTTGGAAAAGCTGCCGGTGGAGGGGGTGGGGAGGGGAAGGAATGGGGAAATAGCTGGAAAGATGGAAAAGCAGCCGGGGTGTGTATATACGTGTGTGTGAGAGAAAAATCAGGCAGAAAGATGTAAAAGTATCCAGAAAGATGGAAAAGCAGCTGCTGGTGGTGGAGGGGAATGGAAGAGCAGCCGGGAAAGCAGAAAAGCACACGGCGGGGGAGGGGGGATGGAAGAGCAGCTGGGGAAGGTGGGGATAGAACAGCGGGCGGAAAGATGGAAAAGTAGCCGGGAAGGCGGAAAAGCAAGCGGGGGCATGGAAGAGCACCTGGGAAGATGGAAAAGCAGCCGGAAGGATGAGAAAGCAGCCGGCGAGGGGGCAGGGAAGAACAGCCAGTGGGAGGGAGTAGAAAAGCAAGCGGAAAGATGGAAAGGGAGCCGGAAAGGCGGAAAAGCAAGCGGAGGGGCATGGAAGAGCACCCGGAAAGAGGGAAAATGCAGCCGGGAGATGGTTGGGGTGGGGTGGGGTGGGGTGAGTGTGTGTGGAAAAAGCAGGCGGCGAGATGGAAAAGGAGCCGGCAAAGCGGAAAAGCATCCGGGAAAGAGAGGATGGGCGAAGCGGGGGGTCACTCACCGGCCTTGGCTTGCTCGCGGTAGCTCTTCTCGCTGAGGCAGACGGCGGTGCCGTGGAGCAGGGCGTGCAGCGGCTTCTCCTCGCCCT